GCATTGTGTCTTAAACTTTGCTTGTCCTTTTTGAGCATGCACATGTAATCGACAGCCAAGGATTTTCTTCTGGCAGAGGAGAGGCTCTTTCCTAGCCAAGGTGAGCCAGATGTTCCAGCATTCTCAACTCGGCCTGGCGTTGATTTATGCCACATTCAATCCTCGAAAGAGAAAGGTAAAAAAACCAGATTCCCATCTGAGGTCCATTTGAGCTGGGAAGAGAGGTGGAGACTGGGAAGAGAGGATCGAGGCTCATGCTTCAGGTCAACTCAGCCCTGGAGAATCTAAGGAGATCTTAGGAAGGAGAGATTTCGGGAACAAGGGAGTAAGCAGCTTTTTGCTCTCCCTCCAGTTGAAAAAGAAATGGTTTCAAACTCAGCTGAAGTTGATTTTCCCTTCGACCACTTGACAATTTTAAAAAAGCTGAACAGTATCTTAAAAACAGCAGTAAAAACTATCAGGGGGGAAAAAAGAGAGCAAATTCTTAATATTTGGCAGCCTCTCTTTAAACTTCCAAATGGCTCTGAAGAGGAACCGTCCGATTGATTGTCCCATTGATGCAGCCAGATGTCGACTTCAGCAATGGGTGGAAAGGAATCAAGATATTTCCCTGCTAGTTGGGAGAATAATTCCAAGGAATTTAAAGACCGAGGAGCTCGGAGCAATGACGCAAGTCAGAAAACAGAGGGCAGTATTTGCAATTCGCAGGTAGTCCTTGATTTACGATTGTAATTAAGCCCAGAATTCTGGTAGTAAATTGTTGTGCTCATAAATCTAGTAACCTATTTGAAGTTACAACTTTTCTTTATGACAATTGTTCAGCAAATGTCATGGTCGTTAAGTGAATCCATTTTCCCCAGTGGGAGCTTTTGCCCCAATCCAGAACAGGGGAAACTGGCAAAAGGCATCGCAAATTGTAGTCACGTGGTTGTAAAGGTGAGCCAAGCGCCCCTGGGACTGTGATATGTGTGTGTGTGTAGCCGTCATAACTCTGAAAATGGGTCATAAGTACTTCTGGGGAGACTTGTGGTAACTTTGAGCGGCCATTAAGCAACCAGTCGTAATTTGTGGACTACCTGTGCAGGCAAAAAAAAATAATAACATGATATATAGCAAACATACAGTATTTGCTATGGAAATATGGGCTAAGGATTGCACCATTCCTAAACAATCGTGCTGTTTAAAGCCCTCCTGATCTACAAACTAAAGTTTTGCACAAGTGGGCTGTTCCACTGTCTTCACAGAGGTGACGATTGGTAAGGAAAAGAAGATTTCCACAGCAGAAAACATGACCATTACAAAAATGCCAGATGATTTATTTGTCCTCGTGATGATTTACCGGATAGCCAAATGGACAGATCTCTCTCCTAAAGAGGCAACGAGGTAATAAAGATTCACAAAAAGCCCCCAATGAGCTGAAGTTTCCTCTCCTCACTTCCAAAAATTCCAGTCCCTCTTTCTCTGGCCTTCCCAGCAACCTTCGGTCAAGTTGAAGGAATGCAATTTCTCCTTGCTAAGACGAAGGACAGCCCTGGGCTCTTTGGAAGGGCTCTGGGGGAGGGGGGGTGTCCCCTTCTCTATCCCCACTGGATGCATTAACCATCTTTCAAAACAAGCCAAAAAGTTGTCCCAACTCATCGCTCCAAGATGACTTTACGAACCATCTCTCAAAGCATTCATTCCTCCATTGGAACAGCACCCTTGGCTGACACCAGCCTTTCAGAAGGCTAATGAAAACCATAGCTGAGATGATTTTGTCTGTCCCAAAGGTGCTTTCTTCCAAAAGGCACCTGGACTTTCTTGTTTTGCTTGAAGACGCTTTGCTTCTCATCTAAGAAGCTTCTTCAGTTCTGACTGAATGGTAGAGAAGGGTTTATATTCCTTGCAGTCATCTGGTCGTTAGCGCGCCCTCTAAGAGTCGTTGAGGCCACTTGGAAATTTATCCGTGCCCTCGAGGGCACCTGAATTCTGGAGGCTGCCATTTTTCTGGGAAATCCGTTCATATCCTGCCCCATTCGCACGACTCTCAGAAAGAGGACTAACGACCAGCTGACTGCAAGGCATATAAATCCTTCCCTTCTCCACCAGTCAGTCAGAATGGGAGACTTTCTACGGGCTACTCAGGTGCAAGCGCTAAATCTCCGAGCCAAGAATGCACCACCAGGAATGTTTCAGCCCATGTAAATTATGTTAATGCCATTAAAATCTGCGATACTCAAAATAAGACGTCTAGACAAAGAGAGCAGATGTAAAGAAATGCAAACACCACCCAGTTTCTTCACCACTGTATTTTGAATTAACTTCACAATCATTTGTCTAACAGTATATTTTAAGTCGATGGAAACCAGATGTGATTCTGGGCTATCCTCCCTGGTGCTTGAGTGTTAAAGGCACAACCTGCAATCTACAAAAGGAGGCATACTTTATTTTTCCTATCCTGATCTCTACATGGCTAGAAAATATGAAAACGTGGGGAGCTGGACTCCCTTTTTCCAATGATTCCAGAACAGCACTTTACTCCATATCTATTCGGGACCCATGAGCTTGGGGGTCTCTGCTGAATATTTTGGACTACAATTCCCATCGCCCTGCCAACAGAGCTCAGACTGATCTACAGGCAAAGCCTCAAGATGCGCAAGCTGTAATATGAAACTGCGCAAGGATGGGTGTGGACGTCCATCAAGCTAGCAGAAAGGAGAACGGTGGGCTCAAACGTGACACACTATCGCTTCTATGGGCAGAGCTGCTGAGCCAGCACTAATGGGAGAAACATGATCGGGTTCGCACGAGAGTTTGGCAGCGCAAACTTTATGGCATAGCAAGGCCAGACAGAATTCATTTCAAGGCAAAGAAATCCATCACAATCACATCAAAATGTGGTGTCGGTGAAATTGTGGATCGTAAGTAGCGTCTTTGCCAAAGCACCCAGTGCTTCAAATCAAGTTCTAGTATTAATTTCCAATAACGGTTCAAAGTGTTATGGTCAAAGAGTTGCCTTGCTGAAGCAGAAGAGAATCATCCATGAAGTCACCAAAAAAACCTCTCTTTTAAAACTTTTTAAATTTTTGAAAAACAGTAAGAGGAGACTTCTTCAGTCTGGGAGTCTCTATGCATAGGGGGCTTTCATACATGTTAAAAAGGAGCAATATTGCAGATGTCATCTTAACGTTTTTGATCTTCCTATGTCACCTAACTCTGGTTCGTTGAATAAGCTGCAACCATCTTAAGAGTTGCTAAGCCTTAAACCATGGTTTATAAACTACAAGGGGCTGCCTTCACAGAACACAGTAAAAGCCAAACCCAAGCAACCTGCATTATATACCTTGTAAGAACAGCCCTGCTGGATCAAGCCAAGGTCTATCTTAGTCCAGGAATTTGCTCCTCACCATGACCAACCAAGGTATCTCAAGATGTTTGCAATCAGGAGGTGGAGACCTAGCCCTTGAGAAGACCACCCACTTACAAATGTATTCAACTCTTTCTGAAAGCCATCCAAGTTAGTGGCCATCACATTCTATTTTAATGAATCCCACAGGTTAATTCTGAAGAACTGTTTCTTTCTATATGTTCTACATCTCCAATCAGTTTCACAAGGTGACCCTGGTCAAAAGAAACTCCCCCCAGCCCACTTTCTCCATTCCATCCTTGATTTTATACACTTCAAGCATGTTGCCCTTCCGCCAAATTGATTCTAAGCTAATGAATCTCAAACATTTTAGCCTTGTGTTGTAAAGAAGCCTTCCTTTGGATTGTCTTCTTCTGCAGTGAACTCAGAAGGACTTTGAATTATGACCACTGCCCTGTGGCTTCTTTAGAATTGGACAGTAGGTAGCATTTTAATTGGCTAGAACTTGGGATCAAGGTGATCCTAAAAGGAAACCAGAAGACCAAGAAAGGAGCTGCCAGTATCTCTATAATCATCTTAGCACCTCCCTGATTGGTAGACCTTGATCTTCACGGTCAAGGAGAGCCAGGAGAAAAGGAAGACCTCCTTAGAAACCCAGCTTGAAAAATGCCATCTTACAGTTCAAGCGCAAAGTTCACAGTCCTGGCAGTTTTGTTCTCAAAAGGGACCAGCAGCCAACGCAAACATCTCCTGTGTTTACCGTTCGAGGACCTGCATTAATTTCTTGGCAAATTGTGTGAGGAAACCTGCCAGGGATGACAAATCATCCAAGGAACTCTAACCTGATTAAGTCAGGAATTAATTGGTTCTCCAACCTGCTTTGGTCAGAAGAATTCTGCTTTGCCCAAGGCATGCCAACGGATTATCCTCCATAATGGAACACCTTCCCTGCCATTAAAATAAATACACGTTTGAACAAAACCAGAAGAAGGGAGGAGACCAACCAGGAAGACATGCTGGAGAAAACTAATATTTGCACCAATATTTTTTTACGGATCACTATCGTTCACAGAAGACCGCCCAAACATTAAGAGCATCCTGACATCCATCACCCAATTTCAGAAGAAGGCAAGTTGCTAAACAGGGCAGAAGAATTTGGGGTATAGCAATCCAACTTCGGAGCATCCTCATGACATCATCTCTGATGTCTTTTGGCATGAGCTGAAAACCTTTCTATTCTCTGAGGTTTGTTTTGTGCTTCGCAATAAACCTCCGGATACCGTGGCCTTCTAAATATTTCATTTGAGCTTTGCATTTTATTCTTGCATTATTTACTACCGAAAGAACAGTTCCTTTGAGAGTTGTCAACAGAATAGTTTATTAATTTCCAATCCTCAAAAATCCAGTGTTTTCATCTGCAACGTTTCTGCTGCTATCGCCACCACCCGCAGCAGCAATAGCACCAGGGAAATAATAAAAATAAAAATAAGAATAAAAATAAGAAACGGTTCAGGATTGAACGAGGGAACTCCAGGTCTTATTTCATTCCAAGTAGTGCTTGAAGAACATGCAAAGAGTTACAGCACCAGCAAAAAGAAGGGGGAAAAAAGTGCAAGAAAATGAGGATCCTTTGGCCTCAGGAAAAAATAAATAAAATAAAATTGCGTGGTCTGCCTATCTCCGTATTGAGCCAATGCTCATGTACATTAGAATGTGGGAAAACAAAACAAAAAAATAAATAAATAAAAGCCATCTCATGTAAAAGTAGGAAGAGAGTATTTTGCTAGGAAAATGAGGCTTTTTCAAGACAAGGCGTTCAAAAGGGTCTCAGAAGGATGGCCACGATAGAGACCGCTGGGGGCCTTGGTGGGAACAAGAAAAAACCCAGCTGAGGAATACTGACAGGTGTGAAGTCACAGTTTTTGCTCAGCCAGGCCTTGCAAGCAGTGCCTCCGGTAGGAATCCTTGTGGTGCATCTCGATCACGGCGTCCCGGACCAGCTCGACGAACATCTGAGGCCAGAACTTCTGCAAGGACTCGTATTTCATGTGGATGTCGGCGGCTTCCTTCACCAACTCTTGGATGTAGCTTTGGCAGAAGTTCTTCTTCTCCTTCAGTTCCTGCACGGAAGAACCCGGGGTGGAGGGCAACAAGTGGGAAAGACATCCTTGCTAGAAATGCAAATTGTAATTTAAAAAAAGAGAGAGAGAGAGAGAGAGAGAGAGAACAGGGAAAGGGGGGGGAGAGGAAGGGCAGCTGGCCTGGTGGTCTCCAGAGAATCAGAATTACTAAAATGATAAGGTAGCCTCTCTTTCAGGAGGACGCAGACCGTGGATTGTCTCTAATCTCCATAGGAAGGAGGAAGAGCCAGGTAAATTTTAGAGAGGGAGGGAGGAAGGGAGGGAGGGAGGAAAAATGGGAAGGAAGGAAAATAGGGAGGGAGGGAGGGAGGGAGGGAGGGAGAAGGGGAATGAGCTAATGCTCAGACATCGTGAATTTTCCTGTTGGATCTTAAAATGGATTGTTTCATTTTAGGTAAAGAAAACTATATAAGAAGCTGAGAAACAATTGCAAAACAACCCCGATTGAATGGCCTTTCCCCTGTAGACCTCCCTCCATCCAGACCACTTATACCTCCTGCTTTTCTGTCTGTAAACCCCCTGAAATATAAGTCAGCGTGGATCGGGTGCTGTTTTCTCCTTCAAGCTTCCGGCGGTTGTTGCCATTGTCACCTGCGGTCCCGAATTTCTTTCCTTTGGCCTCCAAAAGAAAACACAATTGTTTCTTCCTGGGGACAGGCAAGAGAAAAAAATAGATTTACAAGTCTATCAAATTCTGCCGAGTCTTATCACGCATTGAGACACTTTTCTTTTCATTCATCCATTTGCTGATGGGAATCTGATTTATTTGTTCCCCGTCTCTGTGAGCTTTCCATGTTCTTTCTCTTTTGTGCCAGAATTTCAAGAACTGCAATTATTTAGGGCCATGGTGGCGAACCTATGGCACGTGTGCCACAGGTGGCACGCAGAGCCCTCTCTGTGGGCACCCGCGCCATCGTCCCAGTCCTAGGCCTTCAGCTGGGTTTTATAAAACCTTTTCGCTTTAGGCCTCCGCCGCTGTGTGCAAAAAAAAAAAAAGGTTCATTCAATCAATCAATTTCAACTTCTCGCCGGGAAAAAAAGGATCTCGCAAAGTTGGAATTGATTGATTGAACTTTTTAGTCCCACCCAGTCTGCCGTTACCACCATAACCACGCCCACCCAATTGGCCACACCCACCCAGCTGGCCACGCTCACCCAATTGGCCACACCCACCCAGTGGGCCACGCCTACCTGGCACCCGATGATACATAAGTGGGTTTTGGGTTGCAGTTTGGGCACTCGGTCTCTAAAAGGTTCACCATCACTGATTTAGGGTATGGACAGACAGAACCTGTCACCCGTGTTTGACAAATACGGCTTGTGAAGCCATCTCCATAAGAGTGAGGAGGAAAGGAGGGATGACATCCAAAACCAAGGAAGGGGGGGGGGAAAGCTCAAAGGTGAGTGAAAAATGAAAAAAATAAGAACCAGATAATCAACCTTTCAAAGCATCTTGTTCAGGTCTGACGGAGGAGAGGAGCTGCACCGCCTAGCCAGAGATGCTGAATGCCTACAGGTAGTCCTCGGATTACCACCATTCCAAGTTACAACAATACTGAAAAAAGTGCCTTACAACCGGGTCCTCACACTTACGACGTTTGCAGCATCCCGAGGGTCACGTGACCACCTCTTGCTTAACGACCACGGCCAAAAAGATCGTAAATCAGGTGTGATTCGCTTAACCACTGCCTTGGAGAGCAACAGAAATTCTGGTCCCAGAGGACTACCTGTATTCATGCTTATAGCAGGAGGCGTCTCCACCAAGGCCGTCGTAGCCACAGATCTTTCCTTCACCCTTAAGGCCAGCGCATCCCTTCGCGTAGACGAAAGGGCCCCCCTCCCCTCCCCCTAATCCCAGTCCTTTACCTGCAATCTCCCAGCAGCGAGATCAGCCGGTAGTGGGGCATGTTGGAAGATGCCACGTAGGCCAAGATCCCAAACAGTCTTTCAGCCATGATCACGTCGTTCTGGGTAACCTGCAGAGGAGGAAGAGAAAAGAAAGAGAGAGAGAGAGAGAGAGTGAGAGAGAGAGCGAGAGAGATCAGACGGACCAAAGTGAAGTGGCCTCAACCCACGATTTAGGGACAGGGTCAAGCAGGGACCTTCGGAGGCCCAACAGCTCTTGTGTGAGAGCCCATTAACCAGTGGAATGAACAAGTATTGTGTGGAATGGAAGTTGCACCCAGAAGTGGTGGGTGCTCCATCACTGGAGGCTTTTTGGAAGAGACTAGGCAGCCATTTGTCTGGAATGGTATAGGGCAGGGGTCTGCAACCTTGACAACTTTAAGACTTGTGGACTTCAGTTCCCAGAATTCCTCAGCCAGCTCTGCCACAAGTCTTAAAGTTGTCACGGTTGCAGTGTTATATTCGGAGGCATGATATCAATACATATTCAAGGAGGCAGGCAATGGATCCTCTCAGACTTCCAAACTTGCAAACTATATCACAATCCCAGTGGTTCACAAATAATCAATTTCACACATTGTGTATGTGTGTGAGAGAGAGAGAGAGAGAGGGAGACAAAATAAATATATACATATACACACTGTCTCAGGGGTACAAGAACAATCCAACAAGTTCTCAAAAAGAAATTTATATGGAACTAAGAAAAACGTCAAGAATGTTCTAGTCTTAGAAATAGAATGGCCTGTTTGTTTTATAGCATTCTGAAGCCCTTAAAATGCAACAGTTCCTTCTTGGTGAAGGAAAAAAAAGAGTTCCTTCTTTTCTCCTTCTGGGAGGTTTCGACAGAGTTTAGGATTCTGGCCTCCTTCGCCCTCTGCTCCACACTGAACCAATGCCAAGAAAGAACTGTAAAGTAAAGCTTTGCACTGCTAAATATATTTCTTACGTTTAATGAGCGATGGGATGCAAGGCCAAGGGTGTAATCGATTATAACTTTTTTCCAAGCCTTTTTTAAAGCTCTGCTGCATGTCCAGAATCGCCCTCCTTTGAAAGACGCCCCAGTTACAAAAGACAGAACACCAGTTCCAAATAAATATTTAAATAAATAAATAAATAAATGAGATAGAGAGAGATGGAGAGAGGGAGAGAGAGAGAGGGAGAGAGGGAGGAAGGAGAGAGAGAGAAAGAGAGAGAGAGAGAGAGAGAGAGAGAGAGAGAGAGAGAG